GTGCAGACCCGGAGGAAGTGGAAGCCAGTATCTACTGAGCGCTTACTCTGGGGACGTATGTTACATACGTTAGCTCACCAAAGCCTCCCAGGAACCTAGGTGGAAGAGGAGGAGGTCAGGAAATGAACTTGGAGAGGTTTGATCCAGTGCCAAAGGGCAAAATATTGAGGGAAAAACTTCTTGGTTTTCCAAAGAAATCCTTCAGAATTCGGTGGCAAACTAGATATTGAGGTATTTGAAGGTAGCATCAGCCTAAGTCACTGCTAAAATAATGCAAAATAGCTCTGGTGACATCTTAGAAGGGTTCCTCTGACCACGAATGAAAGATAACAGCAACCCAGCTCCTGCACTGCCACCCCCAGAACAGGGAAATGCCCCTCCCCTAGCAGGGGGCTGCCCTGACTTCGTGCTCCTCCAGCTTGAAATCAGGTGGGGGCTAGATGACCCCAAAGGTTTTTGTTCCCAGCATGAAACATTGGTGTTTCCAAGCACATGATAGAGTCCAGCTCGTAAAGGGTGGACAGTGCTTATTAAATAAGCAGTTCAACGGAGACTCAGAAAAAGACCCTGGCAAAGAATTTTTGGGAAACCTTTCCATTGTCGAAAACTACTCCCGCTGTTTCTGGAGGACGGTCTTCTCCGGGGTTTCCATTCACCTGCTTCACTCCCAGCGAGGGGTTGCGGGTTCACGTTCTCTCTCCGCCCTCATTCACGCATTCATTCCGCAAACGAAAAATTCTTCTGGGAAATGTAGGCGGCACAACGGAGTCAACCCTTACAAGATGATCCTGAAAAAGTCGTGCATGCTAAAACAAAAAGAAAACCTTCTGCTTAAGGACCACCGACGTTCAGGGGCGCCTGGGTGGCTCAGTCGGTTAAGCCTGTGACTTTGGCTCAGGTCAGGATCTTGTGGCTCGTGGGTTTGAGACCCGTCGGGCTCTGTGCTGGCAGCTCGGAGCCTGGACCCTGCTGCGGATTCTGTGTCTCCCTCTCTGTGCCCCTCCCCAGCTCACGCTCTGTCCCTCGCTCTCTCTGTCAAAAATAAATAAACATTTTTTAAAAATTAAAAAAAAAAATTTTTAAAGAACCACCGATGTTCACAATGCCTGATGGAAGACAAGGAAATAGAGGACTAGTCGTGTGTGTATCATGGTTCTAAGGATTGAGAGTTTTCGGGGTTGACTGCGCTGAAATAAACCCACTTCCTCTGCTAGCACAAGTACTCACTGCTTCTGGAAAACCGTCTGGCAATTCTTATCATGAGTTCTAAAATAAATCAAGCCCTTTGACCTCAGAATTTTCCTTCTAAGGACATGAACTTCAGGAAAGCAGGCTAAGCAGTACAGTGCATTGTTTGACCTCTGGATTTAGAGTGTCCGTATTTCACCAGCTGTGCAACTTTGCAAGGGGGACTCAACCTCTCTGGACCTTGGGTTCCTCGCCTGCAAAATGGGGATAACTCTCTCTGCATCACGGAGGTGTGAAGACGACTGAGTTATTAAATGTAACATCTTTATTTATATGCATCTTCTTGTTTATTTTTCATGAAAACTCCACACGGAAGGCAAGAAAAATATTAGCCTGATCCGGTCAGCAATAAGCAGTCAATTAAGTGTGGACTCTTTTCATTGTTACCGTGTCCATCGCCGAGACACAAATGTGGCCGTGGCAACATTGTCTCTCACGGGGAAAATGTGTTAAAAATGAGCGGTCCCACAATGAGAGAATGGTTACATAGATGACATTTCCACACAATCAAACAGGCATCTACTTAAAATGTTTTCAAAGAAAGGTTCACGAGATGGGGACAATTCACCAAAGAACGTTCAGCAAAAAAAAAGTGGGCTTGAAGTTGTATGTGATGTGGGGGGTGGGGGGGATCCCAATGTGCATGCAATGTGGTAGATCATGTGTCTTCACCCAAGTCCCTCTCTGGAGCCCTGATCCCTCCCCGGCTGAAGTAGACACATCCAAAAATAGCCCCTGGGGGCGGGGGGGGGGGGCGGGCAGTGACTTGCTGAGGCAGGGCCGCAAAGGCCCACCCACTTACCTTCCTTTGGAAGCATTCTGGAAGGCCAGGCCCGCTCAGCCCCGGCCAGTGGGAGCCACATTTGGAGCCAAACTCTCCCTCTGCGAGCTTCTCCCTCCCTTTCGTCCAGGGGAGTCTCCCCAAGATACACTCCGCATGCAACTTTTATCTCGGACTCTTGTTTCCAGGGAACCCAATCAGATATTATGAGGGAACATCTCTGAGAGACAAAGTTCCTGGGTTTCCCCAATTCCCTGGGATGCGTCTGTATTATTTTAAACGGATAAGATGGCATTGTTTTAAAAGAGGCAAGGTCCTCCCTGGAGTGTTAAAATTAATCAAGCCCAGGAATTTGCAATGCATACATTTTATTCTTCTTCCTGATCTCAGACTTTTTTTTTTTTTAATGTTTATTTATTTTCGAGAGAGAGAGCCAGAGTGCAAGCAGGGGAGGGGCAGAGAGAGAGAGAGAGAGGGAGACACAGAATCCGAAGCAGGCTCCAGGCTCCGAGCTGTCAGCACAGAGCCCCATGTGGACCTCGAACTCACGAACTGCGAGATCATGACCTGAGCTGACTCAGACGCTTAACTGACTGAGCCACCCAGGCGCCCCGATCTCATACTTAAAAAAAAAAAAAAAAAAAAAAAAAGTGGCTATTTTAATTTAAATGGTATCACTAGTAAGTAATGAGCCGAGGTTAAATGCTTCAGAGCATATACTTCCCCAACCTGATGTCAACATGGGTGATGCTTCCGTCCCAAAGATGCTGCTGTGGCTCACAGCATAATTCTTTTCTCTTGGAGAACTGTCTCCATACACCCGGCTACCGACTAGTCGCACCAGAAAGTCACCCCGTGGCCTTACGACAGTTTTATTAGTCTTGTCCACCTGCTCACCAACCCCACGGTCCACTCAGATTTTATCCTGAATACCACTGAAAGGCTCCCAAGATCCAATTCTTCCTCGAAGGATTAAGCTTGTTCTTTCTTTGTTTTTCTTCATGGAGGATATTCACGAGACTCTGACAGCCGTTTTCAAGAGGGGAGGCCTGAAACCATCTTGAGTGATGATGCATCTTTGGAATAAGTGCTCGGCCATCCACAGTGGCTCCTTGGAGGGGACAGTGCTTTTTATGGATCAGCGTTGGATGTTTGTTTAAAACGAAATCGGCCACATCACGTTCAGAGTCATTTTCATGTTCGATGTGACGCTCCAGGTCTAATGCCGCAGGCTGCCTGTCAACATCTTTGGCTAAAAAATGATGAAACTTTCGAAGTAACCGAGTCAGACTTTGTACATGGAGGTACCGGACGTGACCTCCTATAGATAAATGCCAAATTGTTGTAAGGACACCAGCTTGTAGAAAACTCCCAGCCAAACAGTACGCGCTACCCGCAGATAAGCGTTACTGTAACAACTGATAAATGGGCAGAGAAGACACCACAGAGAGGGTAGGGAAATGGCTTGTTTTTCAGACGGCAGTCTTACAAGCGATCCCGATCCTGGGAGTCTATCTCAAGACAATAGTCAGAAACGGCGGGGCAACTTTCATGCACAAGGATGTCATCACAATGCTATCGTTTATTTATGACGAAGGGAATACGCTAAGTGCTCAACGCAAGGGAGATGGTTGCATAAACGGCCACATTGAACTAAGGGTTCTGAAGACTTGAGGCTAACAAGGAAACATACTCAGCCACAGTGTTGAACGAACGAAGCAGGATATTCGCTTTTATGGCTGATGGAATGTCAGCTATATAAAAATATACAAAAGCTATGTAAGCACGAAGAACCAACTTGAGAAAGAACAAAATGTCACCAACCAGTGGATGTCTTAGCACAGTGAGGTGATGCATGATTTCCTTTCCTTCCTTCTGCTTCGTCTCATGTCATGGATTCTCTATGATGGAACAAAGACTATAAACTTTATATGATAACAATTGAAGGAGGAGGAGGTGAAGGAAGAACATGGTTGTCCCTTCACCCCAGTTTCCGAGGTAATGAGAAACAGTCAATCTGAGGCACCGTAGTTAGAACGGGGCCCCAGGCTACTACAAAATAGGGTGGAAAACCGACAATGTGAGAAATGGACCCACACAAACACATTAAAATAAAGGGGAAAGGGGAACCAGGGTGAGAACCTGCATTGGGGTGATATTTTGAAATGGGAGCCAATGTGATTTTCTTGTGTTTCTTTGTTCCAGATCTTTCTTCCATTTAGTCAGCTTTGTGCTCTGAAGCACTCGTCCAGACGGTAGGGGAACCACGAGTCTGTCCTTGGCTTGAGTTTTAGAACCCAAAGCCTCTGAGGAGCTGCAAAACTTGGGGAGGTGAGTAAGAGACAGGCTCTCTGGCCCTCCAGGTTAGAAGGCATTGCCCAGACCAGGAGGACAGGGCAGGCTGGAGAGGAGGCCAGGAGGGATCTCAACAGGGGGTTCCGCAGCACAGCCCCCTCCCCTCATCGTGCAGAGATGGAAGAGGAACAGCCAGAAACCCCACCCAGGCCGGAGGACACGCGTACCCCTTCCCCAGGTGGAGCCAGGGAGGCCACGAGATGCCGGAGTGGAAACATGGCGGGATCTAGGTCTCCCCGTTCCAAAGAGATGGCAAAGGGAAGCTGGATCGTACATGCCTAAGAGCAGCGGGAAGAGTGAATTCCACCCAGGGCCCAAGAGGATGCAAACTGCCCTTCCTGCTCCAGAGAGCCCACCGAGGGGCCCAGGGCCTCACCAGCTCAGCGTCTTCGCTGCCAGGGAGGTGGACCCCAAGCCCACTTGAACTAGCAGAAAGATCCCCCCAACTCTGAAAGAGGCCCAAGATGAGAACAGGAAAAGGACCCAGCAGCGATCTGTGTGGCATCAGACATGGCCATCTCGGCGGCTGCCAGCACAGAGAGAAACTCATGCCCAACAAACACAGTGTCCTCAGTCTAAATGGTAGCTGTGGGTAAGCAGTGTAATCATGGGGAGGGGTGCTGCTGAACTGACAGAAATTTAATTTCTAACACCCAAAGGAATGGGAACTCAAATGAGAAAGTAGCTATTTCATTGATACTCAGAAGCCATCGATTGTAAAACGCATCATTAATTTATGTACCACTAAGAAAGAAAGACACCAATTCATCTATGAAACAATGCTTTCTCATCACTTAAAATCTGTATTTTATGCTTGCTGAAAGAGCTTTTCTAGACTTATTGGGTCAGAGGCTTTTATTATACATCACACTCACGCGTATACAAAAAAGAAAATAAATTCGTTAAGAAATTCCCGAAGTTATCTTCGCATTCAGAGTTTACGCATTTGGAATCAATGTTCATATTTTTCTGCACGGCGCTGTCCTCTGTATTGATGATGAAACTTTCTTACAAGTGCCCCCACTGTTGGCTCCAGGTTTTCTTCTGAGATGCTGCCACCCATTCTAAAAGGTCTGATGTGGGTGCTTGCTTGCTTGACGTGTGCAAACAGGCATTGCCTTTGTACACAACTCAGTAACAAAATGATCACAGTTTCAAACGCTTGTAGTAATCTACATCTATTACTGTGTATGAGGTTGTTGCTTTTCAGCGACCCCCCCCAACACAAATACCTGCTTCACTAATATCATATTTGCACCCCACTGCTCTGTTTCCAAACCTTTCTGTTGACGATAACTTTTCATCTCAAACCTGAAACTTGGGATGATCTTTTTGAAAACATTTCAAACAGCAACTAAACTCAACTTGGGTCCTACCAACAATGCACAGACTTCAACAGAAGGGACGGTCATAGGAATGCCTGTGAACAAGTTCAGACATGCACGGGCCATTCCGTCCGCCCTGCCACCCGGGAAATAGCGATTCAAAGATGCCATCAGTGAGAAGATCCTGATTTCTGAGACACTAACGCACGAAAAGGCATGTATTGGAATCAATGAAGTATGACAACTTGAGTTAAAGAAATACTTAAAGGTGCATATCTTGCACAGTGGACTGGGTAAAATGAAGTTATGCCCATTACACAGGTTTAGCAATGGGAGATCCAAGGGTCCGTGAGCAGCCCAGCCACAGAGAAGGGTCCGATGTCCTTGGTCTAACGTGGCCTCACGATATCTGGCGGGAATTAGTTCAGCAGGAACAGCACCCCCGAGCTGCTGACATGAAAACGGAGGCTATATGGTTTCACAGAGGAAGTATCACAGCCATCCATCTTCCTGCCCCTTCAAATAATCCACTTTCAGCCCAGCCCTTGATCAGGTGGTGAGTCCTCCTGACAAAGAGCAGACCAGAACCTTCCCTTCATGGCCCGGCTGTGGTACACTATACATTCGACACAAAACAAGCAAACACTGACAATGAACTGACAGATGAAGGGAAGAAAGGGAGTGTGCGGTTAACAGCTTGCAACTGACGTGGGTTTGGGTCCCCGAGCTGTAATATTTATTATCTTATGAGTCACTTAGCCTTTGAGAGACAGAAACTAGCTGCTCACTGACACCATTTCCTCTTCTTCCTGGGCATTTGCCAAGACCATGCATCCCAGCCCCCTTGCCTTTCGATGGGGTCATGGAATCGACACCTGGCCAATGGAAGCTGAGCACAGGGAGGAAATAGACCACTTCTCGACTTGGAATCTAAACCCTTCTGCCTGATCCTCACATTCCCTCCCCTTTCTCTTATCAACTACCACCAGATTCATAGGGGCCAAAAGGAGGATTCTGATGCCCTACTGGCTTTCTATATGAAAGGAGCCTGAAGCCCCAAATAACTATGTTCAGTAGATAACCTTGACCACCAAACTACATGGACGCCACAGTGGCAAAATATAAGTAACCCCACTCTAGGTAATACACCTCTCGTGCTGCAGCGTCCTCATCTACGGGGAAGGATAGATTAGTTACCTAGACCAGTCAGCCCTGTGCCCGCCATACAGGAAGTGCTACCTAAACAGCGGCCATGTTACCATTGTTGTCGGTCCTGTCATTCATTGCCCTTGTGGAGGCAAAGAACGCAGATAGAGAATTCTAACAGGCAGGAGGCTTTTTCCAGCATAGAGGGAAGTAAAACTTCTATAAATATCAACTCGTACTGACTATATTTAAAGTGAAATTTGAGCAATCACATTTTCAGAGTCTGAGAATTATCTGTAACTAGTAATAAAGACCCCGAAATGGGGCACTTGGGGGGCTCAGTCAGTCAAGCATCTGACTTCAGCTCAGGTCATGATCTCGTGGTTCGTGGGTTCGAGCCCCGCATCGGGCTCTGTGCTGACAGCTCGGAGCCTGGAGCCTGCTTCAGATTCTGTGTCTCCCTCTCTCTCTACCCCTCCCCCCACTCGTGGTCCGTCTGTCTGTCTCTCTCTCTCAAAACTAAAATAAACATTAAAAAAAAAAAAAGTCGCTTTAACCAACTTTCTTTCTAGCTGTGCCTGCAATGTGTTCTCCTGACACCTGAGAGTTTCCCAGCCAAGCTCTCATTCATTGGTTCGTTCATTGATTCATTAAAGAAACATTTACTGAGCACCTTCTACGCACCAGGCACTGTGTTCACTTCTGGAGATACAGCAATACCAAAACACACACAGCCCCTGCCCTTCTCGCCCTTACAACTCAGTATGAGAAGACAGACTAGAAACAGATAAATCAGCATATACTTACATATGTAGAAAAAGTGTTCTAAAAGTGGGGGAAAAAATAAAATCATAGTGTTCTCTGGGGAAGAACAAGAGGGACTCCAGAGATCAACCAAACACCCACCTGAGATGATAATTAAATCATTTGGTCTACACGTGCCTTGTCTCCTCAATAGACTGTAAATACCCTCAGGAAGGGATTCCTGCAGCATTTGGCAAGGTCCCCACACATAATAGGTACTCATTAAATTCGTTGATAAGGCAGCTGGCTTTTGGTCTTCCAGACAGCGTCAGCCCAACCTGGGTTTTGACCTTGTCTTCTGCCCATCTACTGCTTTTCTTCCATCGGCAGCCCCCACTTCAAGGAGATGGCCATATTTTTCCATCATCTTATTCTTTTGTGAGATGCACACCGGTGGCCTCTCAGGCAGGACTGATCTTTGTGGTCTCCAGCAAGCTAGAGGATGTTTGGGAATAATCTTGGTAACAGCCATCTCTCGCGCGTCAGCCTCGGCAGGTGGCGCAGAGATCCTGGGAAGGTTTACGGGATTGTCTCCTCTTTGGGAGACTTGTTCGTAGCTTAGTCGTTCTTTATCCACTCTCTTAAAATAAAAAAAAAAATAAAAAAACACAACAGTCGGAGTCATTATTAAAAGGGAAAAATCAAACGGTAATAACACTCCAGAGACACCAGAAGTATTATGAAAAGGAAGTGTTTAAGTGGAAAATACTGAGCTTTGGAAATAAAACTGCAGGCATCTGAACTTACGTATGAAACCCAGGAAGGGATGTGAGAAATGGTGAGAAGGTCTTTTGCCATTGAGTCAGGTCTCTGGCAAATGATCCCTGATGAATCCACATTTGCTCTGGGATTTGAAACTTTCCATGCTCTTATATTTCATCAGCTGCTTTGAGTTACTTTTAAAGAAACACATTTTTAATGAGAAATTTTTGACAGAGAATGCAGTGCAGATGTAATTCTTTGGAACAATTATTTCCTTTGTTGATAGCTCTTTTTTTTTTTTTTCTCCACAGCACCCACTTGCAATTACAAATAAAACAGTAATTAAAACTCTAAATTCACTCAAAATTATCATCCCATCGGTCACCTCCAGATATCCTTGAAATGTCATTCTGGAAAGAATGTCTTATTAAAGATGTAATGTGCTAAGACAGAGGGTTTAGATTTTTCTGATTTGTAGTCATAAATCGATAGTATGTGGGAAATTTTTAACTGACTTGAAAATTATCACAATGAATTAAAAATCTAAGTCAAGAGACCCTAGGATAGCCAAACTGTCTTGGCGGGGGTGGGGGGTGGGGGGACAAAAGGAGGCTAAGTTGGGTTTTGTTGGGTTTTATTTTTTTTACATTTCTATACAAATTGCAAGCACATTCAAGGATTTAGTGACATATATGTTATAGACCAACACACTTCCCCCAGTGCAGACATGAAACGCTTAGTCTAATTTAGCCATGATCTACGTGTATTTTTTTGAGTCTCCCCCTGAGACAGGGTGTGTTGAAATCTGATGGTAACTCATCAACTGAGTCTTTGAAGATTTTTAAAGTGATCCAAGAAGTGCCTCTCTCCCCCCATTCCTCCTCCTCTTCTCCATCCCCTCCTGCTCTGGCATTTCCCACTTTCCTAAAAGTCACCGTCCCTCTTCCACAACGCCATAAACAAGCAACTTCCAACAGTAGCTCCGACTGCCTCTGTCCTTGGCCCAGGTAGGTCACTCATCTACCCTGGTCTTGTGTCCGATCTCCTCCCTCCGGTCCTCACCAAGCCCGGTCCTCCCCGAAGGCTCTGATGAATCGCTCTCTTGTTCCTAAAACCGATGCCCACTCTGCCCACGCAAGGAGCACTGCAGGATGTAGCCTCGGTTTACCTTCCTGTCCTTGGCTCTCTGTATAGACAGCAAGCTTGACCACCCCACGCTGTCCGCTGTGAGTCGTGCTACCGTCTCCACAGGGAGCATCTTTCCTCTCGTGTGGGCACGTCCATCCACATCCTGCCGGCCTTTCAGTCCCCACAGGAGAAAAGCTGCCCAATGGGCAGCGAGCTCCACGGGAATCCGGGGCGTTAGGAAAATTCCTGGTGCTGATGTCCATCACAAAAAAGCCTTCTTTCCTCCACTAAGGCGAGATCAGAAAGGTTCTCCTGATACACTCACTCCCTACAATCAATTCTCACCTTTTGTTCTTTTGCTCTTTTGTTTCCAAAGAATGGGACTGGGGCTGGGTGGCCCAGTGGGTGGCTCAGATCATGATCACGTGCTGACTTCAAGCCCCACATGGGCTCGGTGCTGACAGCTCGGAGCCTGGAGCTGCTTCGGGTTCTGTATCCCTCCTCAGCTCACTCCCTCTGCCTCTCTCTCAAAATAAATAAATAAACATTAAAAAAAAAATGGGACTGAGAGCGAGTGGCACTGTCACTGTGGCAGTTCCAGGGGTGTGAGGGGACACGTAGGAGACCGGCTCCCCAGCCCCGCTGGTAAATAACCATTCATGACTTGAGAGCACTGGACGAGCCCTTCTGGAGCTAAAGGATGGTCTCCAGGCCTCCCGGGTTTGAGTGTGAAGAGGTCCAGGCCCTGCTGGCGAACTTTAAAGCCTCAAGCCCTGGACAGTCCCAGACATGCTAGTGTCTGACAGGGTTCCCGTGAGGTGGGCAGATTTGGAACAGCGGGGTGAGAGTAAAGGTCCCACTGCCTGTTGAAGGGGGTTCTCAAACTGTCAGCGTCCGGGGCCGGGTCTTTTGACTGCGAGGACACACAGACTAGCACCTGCAGGTGGGCAACGCGAGAATCCACAGGAGTCACAGGGAACACGGGGACACGAAGCAAACACACATGCGGACGCCTCCAAGAACCACAACTGGGAGACATCAGAACCTCAGTCTCTATTTCTCCGGACTTACCCACTCTGCTCAGCACATCGGCTCCTTTCTTCTCCTTTCGCCGTCCACTCACTGCCTGTTTCCTCGTAGTCTTTCCTCTCTCGTAATTTTACTTGTCCTTGGCTTTTCAAGACCTCTCTTGCACCTCCTTGACCTGGGATCTTCGTGTCCATTTCCTGACTGGCTTGGTCTTTCAGCCCCAAATCTGTCTTGTTGAGAGAGCACTGTGATTGACCCAAAAACACTTTGAACAAGGCCACTGAAGAGCCTAAGTTAGGTTCCCACTCAGCCTGTGACGTGTTAGCGCAACGGGACAATAGTAACGGGGACAGGTGACATGGTGGCTGTGACCACTCGCTCTGAGAAGCTTCACCTCTTAGCAGGGCTGTGACTGGAGCAGGCTCTGAGACCCTTCGCGGCTCCCCTGCTAAAGATGCTGGAGGTTTTGAGTGTGGCAGCCTAGGGTTCTATCAGAGTCTCCAGATCTGCCTCCACTGAGCATGTTTTTGGGGAGCAAGCACGATCTGAATCCTCTCTCACAGTTCGATAACCTAGCCTACCAGGCTCATCATTAGGGCCTTAACATGTTTAGCTGTTGTCTTACCCTGTAGTTAAATACCAAGAAAGGCCTTTAGAATCACACACTCAGTGGAAAGATGGCTCACCTTCCATGACTGAATTCTTAAAAAAAAAAAAAAATATATATATATATATATATACATATATATATATATATGTATATATATCCATCCCACACATAATTCATTAGCTTGTATTAAGTTAGAAAGGTCCAGGATGTACCTTGTGGAAATAATTGTGAACATAGGAGATAATTGGGCACATTAGCCAAACAGCATTCACAAGAAAAGCATTTCCCCATGGCTGGTGGAAATCCTGAGGCTTAGTCCTAAGCATTTAGCATTAAGGAAAATGGCCAAATATGAAGTATTTCAGAATCAAAACCACTACTCAGAAAACAAACAAAATGGGAGGAGGGTAAGAAGTTACAGTAGAGAGTCTTCATTAGCTCGGCCCCGGCACCCACTCTGGGCATGTTGACCTGGCAAAGAGCACACCTGGGGTGTCCGTGCCCAGTCGTTTAGCTGGTAAAGAGCCAGAGTGATGGTTTCCGTCCTGTTCCCCAGTTGGTCTGTTCTCATCCATTGGCTATAACATGTGCCTGGTTCTGCAGGACCTTGTTCTCTTTGCCGTTGGGTGACACTTTTGGAGAGTGACTTCTTCCCATGACTGACAACTAACCAACCAACCAACAACAACAACCAGAAAATCAGACTCCCGTCCATCCATCTCGCCATCTTCAATGGCAGGGGACACCCTATCACCTGTCGCCCAGGGGCTTGTTTTCAGCCTGCTCTGCAAAGATGACAGGAGACAATGAAAGAAAACCAAGGACAAAAGGTTGACACTGACCTCCCTCAATTAGGAAATGTATTTATTTCATGAAGTCAAAGGGGAAAAATTGACTTTCTGAATAAAGGTCAAAAGGAATTTGATAAAAATTCAATATCAATACCTATTTTTTAAAAATGGCTTAGTAATCTAGAAATAGAGGGAACAAAGAGACAGAACCCCAACAAGATAAAGAAGGTTTAGGGGCGCTTAGTCGAGCATTTGCCTCTTGCTTTTGGCTCAGGTCACTGTTTGTGAGTTCAAGTCCCGCCGAGAGCTCTGCACAGATAGGGTGGAGCCTGCTTGGGATCCTCTCTCCCTTTCTCTCTGCCCCTTCCCTGCTTGTTTGCTTGTTCTTTCTCTCTCTCAAAATAAATAAATAAAAATTTTTTAAGTGTCTATATAAAGCCAACAGCTAATATGATATGCATGGTGAAAAAGTGAGTCCTGTTAACATCAAAAATAAGATAAAGATGTCCTCTCTCACCATGTTTAACATAGTCTAGAATTTCTAGTCTCTGAAATAAGACAATGAAAAGAAAAGTGAGGAAAGGGGGTAAAATTGTTGTTTGTATGTGCTATCACTGTTTATCCAAAAAAACCCAAAGCAATTAATGAAAAACTATCAGTCTGAAAAAGAGAATTTAATAGGGCAGAAAGATACAAGGTAGACATAAATTTTTTTCTTAGGTATAGCAGCAATGGCATTGGAACTGGATCAATGTGATAGATCGAAGAACACACATGACTGTCAAATTTTTAGTACAACAGGGATAAACCCAACAAGCAGTGGAAAATACAAGAAAGTCTCATCAGTGATTAGTTCTTTGGAAATGGAAACATACACAAGAGAAAAATAGTGTGAAGAGGAGAAAAGATACAAGAACCTCAATTCAGATTGAAGAAATATGGAGAGCCAGAGGGGGATGTGGTTCAATCAGTATATAATTAAGAGTTCATAAGCAAATTTCACTTATGAACTGATACTGGGAGAGTATTTAAAAACTGAATCCAGCAGAATATTGAGAGAATAACATTATGGCCAAGTAGAATTTATTCTGTAGAGTATGTAGAATATATTCATATAATCCGCTACAATATAACAGATCAAAGGGAAAAATATATGAGTTTTAATAGACTTGAAAAGGCATTTGGTAAATTTCAATACCTATTCTAATTTAAAAAGGAAGAAGCCTTAGAAAAGGAACAAAAGGAAATTTCCTTAACAAAGGCGCCATAGTCCCGTAAGAAGAGAGTGAACATAGGAGGCTTAGGAGTTGGGAAAATGCAACTTAAAACAATAAAAATATAATTTTTCCCGTAAGATAAAAGAAATTTAAAAGATTAATCATATGCCATGCCAGCAAACCTGTAAAGAAACCTTATTACTGGAAGCAAAATTTTTAAAAGTATGACAAAACCCTTTTGCAGAGCATTTTGCAAACGTGGGACTAGCATTTCCACAATTTGTGAAAACACAGGCGTGAAAGAGATGTTAATTGAAGTACTTTTTTTAAATCGTAGTACATCCCTTCAGGGAACTCAACGCCCACGTGATTCTCAAGCACACTGCTCTCTCCGGGTTGTCACTGCGGAAAATGCACAGAGTACATCCTCGGCCACAGGGTCACTTTTTGGGCCTCCATCACAGAGA